TTTTTAAATAAAATGCTCAGTTCTTAAGAGCCACAAAAACCCTCTTGGAGGAAGCAGATGTGGGCTACAGATCAGCCACCCCTCCTCTAAAACATTTGGGGCATAATGCACCACATTCCACAGAAGAACATTGATTTTATACATATGAAACAAATTTAAAACTGTTTTTATTAGTCTGTAAATTTGAGGTGCCTCATGGGAAGCAATTCATAACAACCCATTGGATTGGTCCCTTGATTTCCAAACTTAAGGTTGCAGCCACTTAGCAGGAAATAAAACCAATGAGACGTATTTCCAGGTAAGTTTTGTTTAGGAATGAGGCGAAAAAGGATATAAGAGTTGGATGAAAATGCTGAAAAGGGCAAAACCTAGTTGTTGTTGTTGTTTGTATTTGTTTGTGATTTAAATCTATATTCTTTGAAAGTTCTCCAAACATTTCTTCATGTTTTCAAATTATATCCTTAATTTAGCATTACAGCTGATTGTAAGGGTACTTTTCATGGTGGTGGTTTTAAAAGGAAGCCGTGATATGCATCTGGTGGGTAGCAAGCTATATCTCTAATCGCACCACCTGCTGGCAGTTCTTTACTAACATGTTGTTAACAAATTTGGCATGAGCATCCAAACAACAGGTAAAAACACTTTCCTAGCTGAGAGAAAAAGGCCTTGAGTAATGGGAGTTAGTTTGGGAACTGCTCCAGAGTTCCTGGTAGTCATCAGAGATAGGATACTTGGCTGGATGGACCAGCCCAAGATATTTTGCTGCTAGAGATCAATGACATGAGAAGAGCCTGAGGAACCAGGTCAATGGCCCATCAAGTTCCCTCATGAGGATACACACATAGACACATGCTGTTGTCTGTCTTTGACTTGGACCTGGACTATTTGGAACCAGTGTTCTCAAAGGCTGGGGTGGTGACCTCTCTGCCCCATCCTTCTCTGACACATACAAGGTCTCTTCATCCAGAGGGTTCCTCAATGGGATCTTCAGCACTCATTCTAGGGGACTCTACCTCCTCTTCTGAGCTCCTCCAGCTGTGGGCTGTCTGGTTCATCCTCCAAGGACTTTGGGTCAGGGCTTGCTGGCTTGGCATGATACCAAGTTTGTAATACATAAGGACAGCAGTATGGATTGGCTTTAAGTAACTCAGAAGTCTCAGAAGGGTCATGGTGACCCAACAGGAATATAGCATCTCTCCTCAATATCTCAGCCCCCTGCACTTTGGGTTTCATTTTAAAAAATTCTGCTCTAACCACCCATTCACTTTCTTCCGTTTCCTTTCTTCAGCGATCCCTTTCGTTCAATAAAGGCCGGGATTTCATCACTGGCATCTAATGATGTTTATGTAGTGAATGGGAAAGCAATAAAAAGTCTTCTGCTCTGCTCAGCAGGTTCTGTGCATCTGTCGCTGTGCAGAAAAGCAGCCCAGATCAAAGGCGGCTTAGCAAGATTCGGTAGCTTCAGAGATACATTTCCAGTGCTTTCAGTCATGGGCAGAATTAAGAAGAGGCAAGAAACAAGGGGAAATGGAAAGCATGGACACAGGTTAGCATTGATGTGAATGGGAGCCTCAATTTCTGTTCCTAAACTGCACCATTCATATTTGTTACACAAACCTGGAGGCTCTTTTCTGCTTGCTCTGTGTATCATTCATTTACTCTGCAATACACTGTCCTTGCCTGAAGAAACTGGAGGCAAAAATCCAAAGACACTGTGAAAAAAATAGATTTATCTTTCGAAATGTATCCGATGTGTTTGGAGCTGCTGATCTTTCTGAAAGGTATGAATGTGTTATCATGTAACAATGGATCTGCTTGGACTACTGGAGGATAGCATTCCAGGTTGAAACTCAAAACACGTTAAGCAGCAATCAGGGCCGGCCCTACCATGAGTTAGATAGTGAGGCAGGTGCCTCAGGTGGCAAATATTGAAGGGCAGCAAGTGGGGGAAGCTCTTTGTGTTTCATTTCATTTTTTTTCCATTTCACTTTTGATTTGTATACCACCTTTCTATATTGCTACACAAAAGGCGGTTACAGCAAGAAAATATACAGCAAAGAGCACGCACCTAATAATAATCTGATCCAACACAGAAAGACATAATAAAACATAACTTTAAAATGGAACAACTTATATCAAATAAAGTAATATTCAATAATATATTAGAATATAATAGTACACAATAAAATTAACTCTCAAAACATCAGCAAATACGGTAATAATTAAACAGAAATTCACTCTTATCAATTACAATAAATATTAATAAACTATGATCAATAAAAATAACTGCAAGTCATAATGCATAAAATATCACAATACATACAAAACTATGTGAAGGGATCAAATTGAGAAACAAAGACACACAACTTACAAAACTATTTTTAATAGTTTGCTATGCAACCTGCATTGGGACTGGTGAAGTGGAAGGCAGGTCGTCCAATGTGGAGCCAGAGCCACTAACTGTGGGAGGAAATCAGATCCATGACCCATATGTGGGTAATTAAGAAAATAATTGGTTGGATGCTTGGGGAGCGGCCAACAAGTTCTAAACAGTCACTGAGTTAAGCAGAGGTATGGCGTGGGAATATAGGTTGTTAGACCCCTTTCCGTATCCCATTTAGTATGTGTAAGGATATCAGGGGGTTACTCAAGAGCAATCAGGCAAATGCCTCTCTGGTCGGCTGTAAATCCTCGTTCTTGGTGCCAAAAACCCTTCACCATGCAGAGCACCACTATTCCGTGGCTCGCTCATTCACTGGTAGAATCTGTGAGTGGGTGGTCCTTAAACCTTCCCCAGCAGAGTAGTTTCTTGACGCCCAATCTGCGCCTCCCCTCTCGGCGTGGAAGCCTACTGCGCAGGGAGGGCGTGGGTAACGGAGGACCTATCTCCTCCCCGCTTTGCCCAGGCAAAGTGTCCTGGCACTGCCTCGCCTCCTCTGAGCCCTGAAGCTCCTCTCCACTGGAGGCGTGGTTACTCTCCTCCGCTGAGGAGGTGCTGCTTCCCACAATCTTTGGGGGCTCTCTGTAATCCATCCGGCTTTCCCCCTCTCGCCCCTGAGCCAATGGCAGTTCCCTGACAATATGCTTACAGCTCTTACCCCTCTTTCTACCCCTACAGCAATGAGCATACCACACACCATTAACCAAGTTTGAAATGCTTTACTTATAAAATCCAAGGTCTGATTCATGCATTATTCCATGCAGCAGCAAGGAGAACATGGGTAGAATACTCTTGGGTACAAAATACAGAAATATAGTTTCAAACATCCTACCTGGTTGGTTACATGGAGTGAAGAGGGAGTGAGGAAAGGAAGAGAAGAAGCTTCACTTCCTCCCGCACCGGAGGTGAGGGGGCATGACCTAACTGACTCTAGGAACAGAGTTCTTGGGTCATGCACTAACTAGCATCTTTGGCTGCAGTATCCCACAAGAATGACACACACAGCCAACAAATTCCAGTTTTGTCTTCCTCCTCTTCCCTGCTGAGTTCTACAAAGGCAAGACTGAAAATGAAGAGGAGGAAGCTGACAGGCAGTGCAGCCGCCACCAAGACTGCTTGTAAGAACAAAGGCAGGCTGGTGTGGGCTGGATAGCTGAAGGCAGAATGAGGTTAAGAACACAAGAAGAGCCTGCTGGATCAGGCCAGCGGTCCATGTAGTTTGGCAACCTGTGCACACAGTGGCTGAAGGGTTGCCTGTAAGACACCAGCAAGGAGGATTCAAACACTTCCCTCCTGTGGTTTCCAGCAACTGGTATCTAGCGGCATGTTTGCCTCCAACTGTAGGAGGTAGAGCATAGCTGATATTATTTATTTATTTATTTATTTATTTATTTATACCCTGCCCATCTGGCTGAGCCACTCTGGGCGGCTCCCAATTGAGTGTTAATAATAATAATAATAATAATAATAATAATAATAATAATTTATTATTTATACCCTGCCCATCTGGGCGGCTTCCAATCAAGTGTTAAAAACAACACAGTATTAAATATTAAAAACTTCCCTAAACAGGGCTGCCTTCATATGTCTTTTAAAGAGAAGATAGCTGCTTATTTCCTTCACATCTGAAGGATGGGCAGGCGGGCGCCACTACCGAGAAGGCCCTCTGCCTGGTTCCCTGTAACCTCACTTCTCGCAATGAGGGAACTGCCCTCGGTGCTGGATCTCAGTGACAGGGCTGAACGATGGGGGTGGAGACGCTCCTTCAGCAATACAATTCAGCAATATATCATCATCATCATCACATACCACCTTTACCTTCCAAGAATCTCAAGCTGAAGGACATGGCTCACCTCTTCCCCAGTTCATCCACACAACAACCCTGTGAGGTAGGCTAGTTGGAGAGATTCTGACTTGCCCAAGGTCACCCTTGTGACCTTCGCAGTTGGCTGAGTGGGGTTTCAAACCCTGCCCTCCCAGGTCCTAGTCCAACACTTTGCCCCCAATGGACGAGCTTCCACGGATTATCACACTGGCAACACCATTTATTTTGCACCTTCCAACTCCAGGGCGCTATGATTGTGTTTAAACGGGGGCTAAAATTATTTGAAACGCCGGGCGTAACCAGGATTTTTGTTGGGGGGGGGCTGGCCTTTTGTTACGCGGCGGAAGCGAACCTCAATTTGCTATGTATTTTTATTGATTTTGGGGGGCAGCTGCCCCTCCCTGCCCCCCTTTGGCTACGCCCACGTGTCGTCTGGTGTTGAAAAGGTACAAGTTGTATTCCCATGTCGCCGATTTGCAGTTTCCAAGTTCTGGGCACCCGGTGGGAGAGTCTAATCATGCATGCGTCCGCGCACCAGCAACGTCGGACAAGGGCGTCCCTAACCTCTTCAGATCCAGGCGGGGCTTTTCCCTTCAACGCCCCTCCCCCTTGCATAACAAATCTTGAATCCCCCTCCCGCTCCGGGATTCAGGGCTTGCATCGTATTGCAAGGCGGTGCAGGAGAGAGAGCCCCGTCTGCTCCGCCCTGGCTCCGCGCGCCAGCCCAGCGCACCGCCCCCTCGAGGGCAGCGAGGCCGCCGGAGAGACCCGGCTCAGGCCAGCCCCCTCCTCCTCCTCCCTGCTCCCTCTTTTTCCGGTGCGCGCTGGGTTCGTCGCCGGCACGGCCGCGTGCGCGCATGCTCCGTCGGCGGGAAGGGGGCCACTTGCGACGGCAGCAGCCGGAGGAGGAGGAGCAGCAGGAGGGCAAAGTCGAGGCGGGCATGCAAAGTTAACCGCGGGAGCGGCAGGTAGCTCAGCAGCAGCCCCAGCGCAGCCCGCCTCTCCTTCGTTCGCTCGCCCTCGACGGCGCACCGCGCGCCGCCCCAGCCCTGCAGCGCCATGGTGTTGGACAGCTTGGCTCGCATCATTAAAGTGCAGCTGCCCGCCTACCTGAAGCGCCTCCCGCTGCCCGAGAGCGTCGGCGGCTTCCTCAGGCTGACAGGTTCGGGGGGCAGGGTTCTTGGGTAGGATGGGGGGGGGCGGCGGTGGGGAGAGCCGGAGGGTCGGGATCTGCGCCTTCTGCTCGTCGAACCTCTGTGCGCGTCTTTGCTCGTCTTCCTGGGAAGCGGGCGGTGGAGGCGTAGGAACGAAACACTCGAGTTGACTTCAACACTTTCCCCTGGAAGGTGGAAAGGGAAAGGCTTGGAACTGAGCCCCGCCAAACGCCCCGGGACTTACTTCTGAGTAGACGCGTTCTAGATCGCGCTGCAAAACTCGTCATCCCCCGCTCCCCGCGCGCGCGTGTGTTTTGGTTTCAACTTTCTCCCAACTGCAGATCTCAATGCTTCAGAATAAGCCTTTCTTTTAAAGCGCAGTCCCTTGCAGGCTTACCTGGGAGTAAGCCCCACTGAGCATAATGGAGCTTACTTCCGCGTTAAGTTCGGTAGGACTGCGCTGTTAACTGCACGTGCGCGTTTCCCCCATTCATCCTTCCCCACTGGTCCTTCTTCAAATGCGCCCTAGTCCGCTATAGGCTCTTCAGTTCCCTTTTTTCAAATCGTGCTTTCCAGGACCGGCCCTTTCGTGAGGCAAAGAGCAAGGCTTGCCCACCCATGCCATGTTGAGATTCTTGCATTGCAGGGGGTTGGACTAGATGACCCTCGGGTCCCTTCCAGCTCTTAAGATTCTGTAGTTCTGAGGCCAGGAAAGGCAACCACCTCAGATGACAGGATCCACAGGGATATCAGTTTTTGATGTTAATCTTCCTTCCCCGCTTGCTCCTGGTGTAGCTCTTCCTTCCCTTGCACCATTTTGGGGTTCACCTCAGGTGCCAAAATTCCTTGAGCTGGCCCTGAGTTCGAGTGATGCTATTTGCCTCAGACAGCAAGTGCTTTTGAGGGAATTGGTGGTTGTGGTGGTGAGGTGTTGCAGGACAGAGGAGTTTGCTGCTCTCAGATGCAGAAGATTCCGCTTCCATTCTGGTGGGCTTTTGTGCATCAAATGGCACGGCCATCTTGCCTTCCCTTCAGGCAGCAAAATGTCTTGGGCTGGTCCTATAGTCCCCGTCCCCCCTTTTGCTCTCCTTTAGGATTTCAGAGACTTTTTGACTTAAGGGGTGGGTTCGTTTACTCTCTGCTGTTTGTATGCATGTTTGAATGATAGTCACGAGGAATAGAAAACTCCCCAGGAGAGGAGACCTGTGTCTAATTCATGTTAGTTTACTTAATATAGTGATACAGGGTATGCACAGAGAGAGAGAGAGAGAGAGCGGGGGGGGGGGTCTGTTTACATAAAAGTTTTGGCCAATGGAACTTGCTCCGAAGTAAGGCTGCAATCCTGTGCAAAGTTAGGCACACCAAAGCCAAATTATTTTGGTGGGCCTAGGCTCACTTAACTCCGTTTAGGACTGTGCAGTACATATGCGTCACATTATATTGTGTATGAAAATGCCCTTATTGTGTACATACAATACTGTTTAATTCAAAACAGTAGCCCCTTGAAATCAAATCAAAACTTTATTAGCAAAGCCAACAGGCCACAGCTGTACAAGAGTTAAAAGTGAAAATAGGGATAAAAGGAAGAAAAGAACAGGCAAAAGGAGGTCCGTCGGGTGAACAAGTCTGTCACTCAGATGGTGGCCCTCAATTTCGCAGCTCTCTCGATGTACCTCGCGACCTTCTCTGTTATCTGACTATCCGTATCAGATAATAGAAAATACAGTGTAATGTCTGGTGAACGGCCGGGGTTGGAGAGAATGAGTGGAGTAATAATCTCATTCCTTAGGGTAGCCCCTTGAAACTCACTATCCTTTTGTGTTTCTAGTCATGGTGGTAAAAAAAATCAGTGGGTATTTTTTAAAAAACTTTTCCCAACATGTGTGTTTTAACGCAACAAATCTGAGTACCTGAAAACATGAAAGCAGTTATGTATGCATGTAGGAATATTTCTAAATTAATATGCAATACAGTTGCTTCACATGATTATTATTTAGAGTGTTAGTACCCGGTTCTTCAGCCAAAACAAGACAATCCCTACCTGCAGACTTACAATCTGAAAACAACAACACACAAGGGAAAAGGGACAGGGAGCGAAGAGGAAAATAGAAAAACTCAGGCACCAATTTCTAAACAGTTGTCCCCTTATTGTCCAGGGGCAATAAAGGTAAAGTAAAGTGGACCCCTGACCATTAGGTCCAGTCGTGGCCGACTCTGGGGTTGCGGCGCTCATCTCGCTTTATTGGCCAGTCATGTGGCCAGCATAACTAAGCCGCTTCTGGTGAACCAGAGCAGTGCACGGAAATGCCGTTTACCTTCCCGCTGTAGCAGTACCTATTTATCTACTTGCACTTTGATGTGCTTTCGAACTGCTAGGTTGGCAGGAGCAGGGACCAAGCAACAGGAGCTCACCCCGTTGTGGGGATTCGAACCGCCGACCTTCTGATCAGCAAGCCCTAGGCTCTGTGGTTTAACCCACAGTGCCACCCGCGTCCCAGGGGCAATAGGTGCCTGATAAAGCTGGGGCTCCAGCAAAGCTGATGAAATGAGCCCTGCTTCCTATCTCTCTTACTGACAAAATCTAATGGTTGTGCCCCAGATGACAGTTGAGGGCAGAGGAGGCCTGATGGAGCTGGCTTGTAACAGCAGAGCCAACACCTTAATGCCTGACAAGTTCATTGTGGCATAAGCTTTCATTAACTACAGTCTACTTTATCGGATGAAGTGGCCTATAGTTTGCAAGGAGTATTAGTGTGGCAGAACCTGTACTCTGGAACTCCCTTCTTGGTGATATTAGAAGGCAGGCACCTTCACTATACTGTTTTGAACACATACTGAAAACTTCTGTTTTGGCAAGCCTAATCCAGACACATGATTTAGTTACATTTGTTTCAAGCATTTTATTAAGTTTATATTTGGTGTGTTTTTAAAAGGATGTTTAAAAATTATATTTGTTTTTAACATGGTTTGTGTATTTTACTCATGTTTTATTATTGGACTTCTACACCACTTGGATAATTTTATTTTTGAACAAGCGGTTTATAAATTGTCTAGATAAATAAATAACACAATAATCTGTGAAAACTTATGCCACAATAAATTTGCTGGTGTGCCACAGGACTCTTGGTCGTTCTCGCTACAAAAGCTTAACATGATTGCTCCTCTGGAAGAGGATAAAATTATAGTTTTAATCGGCCCGTCTGTAAGGGTCATCACTTAGTGGTAGAGATAACTTAGCAGTAGAGTGTAAGCTTCGTGTATGAGTTCTCTAGTGAAGGATTTCAGAAAGCAGAATTGGGAAAGGCCTCATCAGCTCTGGAGCACTGCTACCAGCCAGATTGTGGAGCTGGAATATCCAGTTGTGGAAGCAAGAGATCAATGGTTTGTTTAGAATTGTGGAGTTGGAATCATCTCGTCCATCCCTCTGCAATGCAGGATTCACAGCTAAACAGTGTCTGACAGATGGCCATCCCAACTCTGTTTAAATACCTCCAAAGAGAGAGAGTTCACCACCCTCTGAGGTAGTCTGTTCCACTGGTAAAGAGCTCTTGCCATCAGAAAGTTATTCCTCATGTTTAGTCGGAATTGCCTTTCTTTTAGTTTGAATCCATTGGTTCGGGTCCTACCCTCAGGAGCAGCAGAAACAAGTCTTCCGCGTGACAGCCCTTCCTTCAAATGTTTGGAGATGGCTATTATATCTCCTCCCCGTCTCCTCTTCTCCAGGCTAAACATGCCCAGCTTCCTTAACGGTTCCTCCTAAGTCTGGGTTTCCAGACCCTTAATCATCTTAGTCACCCTCCTCTGCACATGGTTCAGTATACGGCAAGCTTTCAGTGTCATGTGACAGCCCTTTCTCTCTTGTCTCTCACCTTCAGAGGCCTGTGCTTTGAGAAGAGAAGATGGAGTATGCCTCTGAATAGCATAGTATATACACAAAGTATCAAATGTGGTGACAGTAATAATAATACTACAACAAAACAGCACCACCACAAACTGGCTTATAAATATAAAACCAGATTTACTAGAATAATAAGCTAGAGATACTAGAATAGAGATAGACTTGTAACCATTCAAACAACAAACATACTAAGGTGCCATGTGCAAGACAAAGCCTGGAGATACTGTAAACATGGAGTGGATAAATGTACAACTGTATCTTAACAAGTTACATGTGCAGTAACATTATGCAGACTGGATAAATGAACCGTTCAACAAGTAGTGCAAGTCCAATCACAGAACGGCAACCCCGTGCTGCCACAACGGCAAGAGTAGCACACTGGAGAATATGAAAAAGTTTTTCAAAGCTGTTTTTCAAAGATTGAACTGGATGAGATGTTCAACGGGTCTTGAGTTGGAAACACAAAGCCGTATGCATGGATCAGTCACGGGAAGGCAAATCAAAGCCACCACCCTGGTGGGAATAACGCAAATGGGCAAAAGGAGACCTGTTCTCCAGATATATTACAGGTTTCGCTACACACTTCATCAGTCCGAAAAGCCAGTCATACAAAACGGTTTGCTCAGGATAAAGAAAGGATGCTGCCCTTGCTGTTGTGGCGGCACGGGGTTGCCGTTCTGTGATTGGACTTACGCTACTTGTTGAACGGTTCATTTATCCAGTCTGTATAATGTTTACTACAAATGTAACTTGTTGAGATATGGCATGTGGGTGGCGCTGTGGGTTAAACCACAGAGCCTAGGACTTGCCAATCAGAAGGTTGGCGGTTCGAATCCCCGCGATGGGGTGAGCTCCCGTTGCTCGGTCCCTGCTCCTGTCAACCTAGCAGTTCAAAAGCACGTCAAAGTGCAAGTAGAAAAATAGGTACTACTTCGGCGGGAAGGTAAACGGCGTTTCCGTGCACTGCTCTGGTTCGCCAGAAGCGGCTTAGTCATGCTGGCCACATGATCCGGAAGCTGTACGCCAGCTCCCCCGGCCAATAAAGCGAGATGAGCACCGCAACCCCAGAGTCGGCCACGACTGGACCTAATGTTCAGGGGTCCCTTTACC